GAGGATTGTCATTTGAGACTAAGCAAATCTTTTCAACTCAGGGATCACTAAAGTAAATGACAGCTGAGGATTCTGTTGCTGGGTCTCTCGGCAGTGGAAGTAGGGAGTTCTTTATTCCCCAAGGGGACCTGCAGCATGCATTATCTTGACTACCAAAGTATCAAGTGACAGCTGGGAAAACTGATATTCTTTATTATTCATTTCAAGGGGACTGCCTTTAGAAGTTCAACATTAGAATTGTGGCAATAAGTGTGATATATACATTTTTATTATAGTTGTGGATCAATTTTATGCTTTCATTTTTAAACCAGAACTGATTTATAAACACCATTAAATGCCTTTCAAGGGTCCATGAAATGACCATAGATTTGTGTCTTTTCTCTCTTAAGAATAATTATTTTAATAATCTTCCTAATAGCAAATTATTGAATTTCTGAAATTATTTTATTGAATATACCTGTGTTTAATTAAATGTGTTATTTAGGATTTTTGCATCTGCTTTAATATTTTATTTTCTTTTTTATCTTACATTTGCCAGATTTTGGTATTTGTTACATTAACTTTAACAACAGAATTTTTGTGTGTGTGCTAGGCAAATTAATAGACCTCCAATAATACCTAGGCCTTAATCCTCAGAATCTGTGAATATGTTAGCTTATTGTGTTAGATGTTACTCTGTTAAGGATTTTGAGGTAGATTACTTTGGTGGACTCAAGCACCCTTATAAGAGGAGCCCAGGGGCAGTGTCACAGTCAGAGAAGGAGATACTCTACACTAGCTTTAATGATGGAGGAACAGCCATAAGCCAAGAAGGGCACCAAGCCCTAGAGATTGGGAGAGGCAAGCCTCGCCTTCAGAAGTGTAGCTACAACCTGGATTTTAGCCCAGAGAAACCTATTTCACACTTCTGAACTTCAGCACTGGAAGATTTAAAAAAAAAAAATGTGTTGTTTCGGTCATTGAATTTGTTATAATTTGCTCCAGCAGCAATAGGATAGTAATGCATTTTCTTTTGTCATTTTCAGAATTATCTCATTCTAATAGTATGTCAGCAGACATAAAACTGAACCTCTCCAGATTAAGTCCGAATTGCCACAGAAAAATTATATTGATTTAATTATAATTCCTAATTTCAAGATAACAAGGCACAAATCTCTTTTACATGAAGATTTCTTAAAACAGAGAGAAATCAAAATCTGTGTGTTTGTGTGTGTGTGTGCACATATGCATGTTGGAGGTTGGCATGAACAACTACTCACAAGTATATTTTTGTTTTAAAATAAACATCTGTAATTGATACAAATATTTCCAATAAGCAGAGGATATCTGCCATTATAAAATTGTTCATTTTTTTTTTTAAACTCAGGATATAGTTGATACAGCAAGAGTCTATCTTGTTATTGTAACTGCTCTTCAGACAGGTCCAAGCAAAGCCAGAGCCTCCCTTTCCACTGGCAGGAAACTTGTTCTTTCAGAACTGGACACCCAGTTCTCCTGCTATTTTCACTCTTAAATGACGTGAAGGGCAACCCACTAACATTTCTGCATTGCTTTGTTTCCTAGTTTGCACTAAAACCCAACTTGTGTTCACAGGTGTTGTTAGCCTCTCCTTCACTGAATCAATTACATGACTGAAAAAGAATTTGTGGGACCAAAGAGGGCATTTTCTGATCTTTGGTCTCAAATGACAGCATAAATAGTAAAGTACATGGCATTGATCCAACACCTCTTTATATATATTTGTATTTTTACTTCCTTGTGTCAAGAAACAAGTAATGCTTTACCAAGAATGTAGACTAACTAGTTGGATTAGTTTTATGTATTTTTTAAATTTTTAATAAAAAGGAACAGAAGGTAAATGTTTTCTTTAATTTGGGTTTCATTAAAAACTGCAAGTCTGATACTTCAGTTAAACATTGAAAAATACAGTAAAGAATAGTTATTTAGGAGAAAAAAAATGGAAATCATGGGCTTAAAATGAGGCTTTCCTGCTGCAACACAACTTTACTCTGATTAATACCTTTATTACCAAGTTATTGCATTTGGATCATATAAATTTCTGTCTAAGTTTAGTCTTGGAACTAAACATTACTCACACATTTTTCTTCTCAAGTCCATTTTACAAAGCATACATTACAGTAATTTCCTGTTTTCACGTAAACTTGCAAATTGGGTCTGCAAGAAAAGAAAAGTAACCCTTATTCTTGGATTATTGCTGTCTCTTTTTATTTTCTTGACAAATAACCATTCTGTTAAGTCAACATATAAAGTGTCTACTGTGGGAATCATTCTGAGAATTCCAATCATGTAAAAAGTATAAGACTCAGCCTGGCTTGAAAAATACTGTAAAAAGAACAAAAAAAAAGAGAGAGCTTTAAAATATTTATTTTTTTAAAGTCCCCAAATCAACATATTAAATTTTAAAATGATTTTTAGGCAGTCTTACAAATTTAAAAAATACATCAAGAAAATATGTCAAGACAAAACTTTGCCGCTGAAGAATCAATAATTAAAGCAGACTCACTTTAGAGAAAGGAAAAAAAAAACCTATCCCATTTTGCCCAAGAATGTGCCAATTATAAAGCTGAAATTCCCAAATCTCCCTCAATTTTACACAACTGTAATAAATAGCCACCCTACTTACAGATGACCAGATTCAGGTAAATTTAATTTTAAAAGTACTTAGTAAGTTTCTCATATATGGCTCACACTCTGGTAGAAACAATAAGTCATTGTATGTAAAGTTATTATTTCTCAAACGGAGAGTTTGATCATTCAACATTACATAGGGTTATGAGTTATTTGATAACACATGCAGATAATCCACATAGTTAAATAGTGTGTTTTAGTTTTACTTATATCTTTATTGGAAAAGTGACAAGAAAATTCAACACCTTGCAGAATTCAAATAACAACAACAACAACAAAAAAATGCAAACCTTCAAAACATCTAGTTCTCAGCCAGCGCCTGGCACATGCCTGTAATCCCAGTGGGTTAGGAAGCTGAGGCAGGAGGATTCAAGTTCAAAGCCAGCTTCAGCAACAGCCAGGTGCTAAGCAACTTGGTGAGACCCTGTCTCTGAATAAAATACAAAATAGGACTGGGGATGTGGCTCAGTGGTTGAGTGCCCTTGACTTCAATCCCCAGTACTACCCCCGCACACATACAAAAAAATAAATCTAGTTAGTTCTCAAGAAAAAATTTCTCCAGATATCACTTCAGTCTTGTGATAACCATATTCTAGCCTAATCACACTGGAAATGTCAGCTTAACACAAGTGATCTGTAATTGCTGAGGGAACAATAATTTTGAATCATTTAATTTTGAGTTTTTTAGCTACATTTTTAAGCCACAATGTGAATTAATACCCATTTTTATACTGGTTTAGAGCAAATGATTCAGGGCCTGAGAGAAAGGTATTATACCACTTGCTTCTTCTGAAGTGCTGCTATTAAACAAATTTGGAAACTAATACAATTACATTAGCTCAATTTTAGTGTGGCATATCATTCTCTTATGTGATTAAGATAAAAACTGATGAGCTACTGTTGGCTTTCAAAATTGCACTATTTTATTGACTGCAAGTGAGCTCTCCATTTAATTGTCCTACTCAGTTTCACATCCATAGTTTTCCATTTTTATGTTTTCTGAAGCCGCGATTTTCAAAAGTTGACATATCCCAAAACTGTTTAGCACACTGAACTTGTGATGAAACTTTTAACCAAAATAGAATTCCAAGTCTTTGAATAGTAGCTGATGATTATCTCAGGTTTTCAAAGAAGAATTCCCAAAGAAATGCTCCAGGAAAAATAGTCCCATATACCAATACTATCAATATTATTATAAATAATAATAACATCCATTTAGTCTCACTCATGAGCATCTCAAATTCAGCAAGTCCTAAAAATAACTGCTATTAGGTGTTTTTTTTTTTTCTCAGTCCTGCCCTACTTCCCCTCCTGTCTCCTCTGCATCTCTGAATATGGTGGGATCATCCCACCCCTTGAACCAGCCAGAAGCCTTGAGTGAAGTCGTGATTCTGCAACCTCCACTCCTCTTTCTTTGTACTAATTACCATCAAGCCCTCTTTATATCATCAGAACTGCATCCTGAGCCCATGTTCTCTCTGACTTCATTCACACCACCTTCAACCACCACTGATCTTGCTTTTCCTGGAACAACAGCCTTCCAACCATGTACCCTCTGCTCCTGCCCATTTAGAGTCCATGTAGCATTCAAAGAATACTTAGAACATTGAGGTCACTTGTCTATGTCAAAGCCCTATAATGATTTCCTACTGCACTTGGAACAAAATCCACATTTCTAACCCTGGCCTGCAACATTAGGATCTGGCTTTTCTTGTCACCTCATTTCCTGCCTCTCTGGTGACACATGCTGGCTTTGTTCCCATGGATTCTGCAAATAAGACAAAGCTCTTCCTAGATTCTCATACAAATGCTCCCTGTCTCCCACACAAGACTCCTCTTTTTTCATTGTTTAAATGTCACCTTCTCAGAGATGCCTTCCATGATTATTCCACTCTAATGGACAGTTACTTTCCTTGGGCATTTATTAAGACTTGTAATCATTGGCCTCTGCACTCTATTTGGTTTGTTTCCCCATTGGAACATAAGCTTCACAAAGCTGGGAGTCCTGAACACATTTTGGCTTCTAGTCACGAGAACTATGTCCATTCCAAAATGAATGTTAAATCAGTATCTCTTGCAGAGTAGCTATTATGATTTTTAATGAAAATTAAACACTTTAAGTCTTATAACATTTGATCCGTAGAGACAAACACTACTACTAATGTCACCATTTAACAGAGAATAAACTTGAAACTTAAAGAGATTATGCAACTAGCCTGTGGTCACATTGCCAGAAAGTGATGACCCCAGAACTGAGCACATTGGTTCACTCCAAAAAGCAGGTTCTGACTGACACTGAGTTTCTGCAGAAATCACAGGCTATGGGACGAATCAAACATGATTCTCTCTTGTTTTTTTTTTTTTTTTTTGCTTTGTCATAGTTATTTATTTCCACATATAATGGAAGTCATGCTATTTGGTTTCCTTAAAGGAAGATACATTTATGTTCAGTTCCATAGAGCAGTTGTCCAGCTGTGTCCATGAGCTGCAGCTGTGGCTCTAGTTTTCACATGTGCTCCCTCTACACCAAAGTGGCTGACTGAAGATGCCACAGGAGATGAGAAGAGGAGGACAGAGGCACCTCAATGTACAACCAGGAATCATTTTATTCTGCACATCTATTATGATATTTGTCTGTTATATAAATACCTTAGTTCTAAGGGTAATATGCAACAGGAGTGAATACATACAAATTGGATTATTCAGCAACACATCAGCAACCTGATCAATCTAAGTGAGAATAGTACCAGCCTGTGTCCCACCACATTTACAATACCATATTTCTTGTTCAAGATGTCCTTGTGCAAAGAAAAGTATGACAACAATGAAGTTGTTATAGACCATAATGAAGTGAGAAACTCACGCAACGATGAAAAATTCTCTACTAGTAGGTTTTTTTTTTTTTCCTATTTGTATGTCTTGGTCTAGTCTCTTTGCCCATGGACTAGCAACCCAATTAATTGAGGCCCTTTTGCCATTCTCATGGCCAACAGACTCAATTGGTTCCCTCTGGCAGCTCCTATGGTTTTGTCCACAAGATCAGAGCTATCACCGCCATCCCATAACCTATTATCAAGCTACGTAAATACCATATGGAAGAACAAAGTCCATTGTTGCTCTTCCCATAGCAAAGCACAGTCTGTTCCAATGTGGAGATTGATCCCAAATGTCTTTCATTATCTTTGCCTCTTCCAAAGATGTCAGAGTTGAACTCATTTATTGCCCTGATATTTCCTAAGGACCCATTCAATCCATCAGGGCAGGAAAATATATTTATAGATGTGTGCTTGGGCTAATATACCCAAGGCTTGTAATTCCTCTACAATGACTTTGTTCAGAGAAGTACTTGAGATGTTCCAATTTCCAGTCCCACCAGATCAAGCTTTTACTAAAACATACAGAGTCTTTAACATTAATCCTAAATTATGGAGTACAGTGATGAAAACATCTCAACATCCAGAAAGGTCTGTGTCTGGGAATTGGGAAAAATTTGCTTTTTATGAGCAACAGCAGGACACAACCAAATAACCCCTGAGCACCTGAGAGACACTCCAGGTCTTTGCAACTTGGAGGAGTTTACACTCCAACCCCATCGTCCGTCTTGGAAGTTGCCAACACTCTTTGAGCTGCAGTCTCAGCTCAGGTAAAGTAAAGACACAGATGTTAAAGCCACATCATCAATACAATAATAAAACATTGGTACTTATTCAGATTATGTCCAGCTCAGAGGTGCCAACACCATCCCATAACATAGGGTAGACTAGGCAAATATCCTTGTGAAAGAACAAAGACCATTGTTGCCCTTCCAACACGAAGGCATATTGTCCTTGCTTATCCTCATTTGATCTCTTGTATTTTCTTTCCCCTTTAGTTCTCCCCCTTCTAAGATATATTCTCTGTAACCTCACTTTCTCATCTTTTTCGTTTATCCCATACAGCCATAACCTGTGTGGCTTGAGAAAAAAAAAATCAAATGCCAATTAACAGATCAGGAATGATCCCAGGGTTCCATAATACTGCCTCATAAGTGCTTGGAGAATGGTCCTTCAGTTCTTCTGTGAATGGTTCTTTATCAGGACCAGTGCAGGTTGCTGCATGAAGGGCCTGCTGCACCGTAACTCCCTCAGAAGGTCTTGGAGTTCTCCCATGGATTTCCATCGCAGGGTACCATGGGTGACTTCAACATATTGTGCCAATCATAATTTCAGGAAGCTATCAGCTAGGACAATAAAGAGATGGCAGTGTCCTCATTTTCCTCATTTACAGCTACATATATACATTGTTGTAATGTAGAGTAGGTGGTGACTAATGTGCTCTTCCTCATTTTACTCTCATAAGAGTATATCTTCAGCACCAGTGTCCCAAATCCAAAATAACTATTTTATTGTGATTTCCTTAGCTTTCTTCCTATACGTATTCCCCAGTTTCACCAAGCAGAGTGTCATCTCTCATGGACATAGGCACATCCTGGTAGGGAGAGGGTAAATTTTCAACCTCTTCTCCCAGTAACCTTGGCAAATGTGTCTTTACCTTTTGAGTTATGAACCAACTCTTGGCACTGGCACCTAAACTGGCTCATCCAGTCTGCTTCTTCAAAGATACCAGATTCACAAGGATCCCATTTATGGAGGTCCAGTCCTGAACAGGTATTCCAAGCTGTAGAATGTATGATACCCAGTCACTTCCCTTTCCCTGGACTAAAGAAAATAGAGGAGAGGGCCCAGGTGCAGCCAGAGGAATCATGGTGGGTGAGGAGCAGGAGGAGGGTCGCAGAAAGACAGATGGGCTGGGTGAAGAGTAAAGTGTTGCCCCTAGCCAGGGTGAAGCATTACCCTCCAAGCCTCTGGAGACACAGGGAGACCCAATTAACATGAAACCAAGTCCTGAGACTCAGAAGCGAATACCTTTCAAGAGAGGGACAAAGTCTTCATTGCCTGAATCTCCATCTGTCAAGTGGTCTAGTATGTTGGTGATGCTTTCCATTGAATTTTTAATTTGGTTTATAAATTCCTTCATTTTGAAGATTTCTGACTCATTTTTCTTCAGGATCTCTATCTCCTTATTGAAATAGTCTATCACTTCTTGAATTTTTTCTTTATTTTTTTCTGTTTCATAAATGGTTTATTTTTAGATTAAGCATCCATTCCTAATGCAATTCATACTTCAGTATGTAAATTCTTGTAAAGGAAAGAATTCCATATACTTCCTATGTAGACATTGCTACATATATCATGATTCATCCCCTATTTCTGGAAATAAGCAAACATGATTCTCAAAGACCATTCTTCTGCCTGATTAGGAGTTATAAAACTGTAATTTCTCTAACATATCATTCTTTGAACATTTCTAAGCTGAAATTCATCTTTTACAAAGAATCTTTATGCTATATGTTTCATATGTTTCTTATTGTAGTTGAAATTACTAAATAACATGGATTATAAACTCAAGAATTTGAATGGACAACAAACACTATTCTAAGAATACAGTAGGAACAAAAAGAGAGGATATTTCCTGGTTTTCTTCCCTGCCATTATTGGTCAGGACTGTTCCTCTTGTCTATGCAACCCAGCAATAATTTTCTAATTGGTTCATTAATGAGAAATAATGGACTTTCTATTAGAATACTGTATACTTATTAGAAAGGAAGGGAAATGTCCCCATTTGGATATACTATTGAAATATCATACATTTTCCTTTTATCATATGAGTGATAGGTTTAAGGAAATTGTGGCATTTGTTGGTAGAATCACCATATACTGAAAATTTCTAAGACACCAAAAGTGATTTACTTGCTCATTGGCCTACCCACACAAGTTTCCATTTTCTTCTCCTTACACTTTTTAGATGATGCAAAGGAAAAAAAAGATAAAAGAAAAAACGGGGGTAATATTATATAGAAATGAAGAGGGAACGGTATTCTTTCTCACCTAATTCTCATGCTCGTGACCAGATAAAGCAACTAGGCAAGAGCAATGAACACAAATATAGAACCATCCCAGATCTGCATGAGCCCCAAACCATGAGTCAGGAAGAGCTAGTGCAACTCAGAGCTCATCCAGGATAGAGAACATGGACAATGATAACAGAAAACCATCTCAGGTTTTAGCGAGAAATACATAATAATGGCTTCCATCATCACAAGGGCTTAGCATTGGTGTCTGCTTATAGGGAGAGCCTTGAGATTTGGCTGTGAAGAACTGGGGATATAAGAGAAGTATTGATTCTCTTGGTTGATGGGAACATAGAAAGATACATGTAGGAAATAATAGATTTTGCTTATGAAACATTTTGCTCTATCTCAGCAGAAAACCTCAAGTAATCCCCTGAATTCACAGAAAAACAGAAGTCAACAGATGAAATTTGCCTCAATCTTAGTCTTAAAACCTACAAAAATATTCCACTCCAATACCTGAGTCTTTCTTTCATTTTGAAAACCTCAGAAGGAACTAAGTATGTTTAGTTCTCTCTTTACCCCATCATCAGCCAACTATGTGCATCTATTCTTTTTAAGTGCACAGGTGTGTGTGTGTGTGTGTGTGTGTGTGTGTGTGTGTGTGTGTATTCAGCTTCAAACGTCACTCCTCTTCTACTTCTACTAATATTTTACTTTCTACTGTCAAATTCCACAATTATCCATATTTATCATTTCTCACTTCCCTTCCTCCTTTTAGCCATCTCTTCCTAACATGTACTAACAGCTTTTGCCAAGTCACTGATAACTTAAATATTACTAGGAAGTGTACTTTCCAAAGCAAGCAATGCTAATATCATCTTTAAAACCCTCATTTCATTTTATCTCATAGCCCCATTCGAAAGGGTCTGTATTTTTTTCTTGAAACAATCATTTACTTTGGCATTACGGACACCTCTACATTTGATTTTTCTTTTCTATCTCTCTGCTCAAGCTAATCTTCATTACTAGGTCATACTCCTCCAAATAGCAGTGAAATGCTGGAGTTCTCTGGGGCTCCGTCCAACCTCTGCACATTCAGTTCCTAAGCAATCACTAATATCCTCATATTTACCATTGTTGTGCATTTCTCAAGCCCAAATCTATGTCTGAGTCCCCAAATCTATGTAGAGATCAGAATCTCTCTGTTTGAATTTCTCAGAAGCATCTAAAACTCTGCTTTCCCAATAATGCTCGCCCTCCTCTGTTCCTTCCATGCATTTGTAAGAATGTGTATTCATCCTGATCCCTGCCTGCCTTTATGACCTCGCACACCAGGCACCCCATCCTGCCAATTCTGCTTCTAAAATGCTCTTAGAATCCCCCTTTCTCCATCCCTGGAGTTCTAGTGCATGCTTCATTTCCTGTCTGTGACTGAACAATGAAAATAGGATATTCTTCCAAGCGGACTCCTGTCTCTCTTGGGTCACCAATCTGCTTTCCCAGGAGTAGCAGGTAGGATCTCTTTAAAATCATAATTGTGGTTATGAAGCCTGTCTACCAAGGTCTTTTAAAAACTTCCAATTGTCTTCAGGATGAAGTCAAAAATTTTCAATATTTCTTCTAAGACGTTACATGAATTGAACCAGACTTCCTTCTTGGTCCCTTTCTACAGTTGCCTTTCTGACAGCCTTATTAAGCTTTCTGGAGACCCTTGAACATGCTGGGTTCTTTTTCTTGAGCTAACTGCCTTCCAGGTATTTTATTTTTTCTGGGCCAACATATTCATTGTGTCCTGCATTGATGATCTGCTCCCCCAGGAAGCTCCTCTCAGCATCTCCGTTCTCTCAGAGCAAGCTTCATGTGCCCTCTGACAGTTCTCCATTGCACCTTAGAGCACCAGAAGAGCTAAAAAAAAAAAAAAAAAAAGAAAGAAAGAAAGAAAAAAAATTATACTTTTAAAATTTATTTCTGATCTATATGTTAGCCTAAAAACTACTAAACGCTGATGTGAATCAGGAGTAACAGAAGAGAACTATCCACCTTAGCATTTTGCAGTGGAGCCAATCTTACTTAAAGGCATGCTAGATGAAAATGGAAAACTCCCTAGGACCCAGCTGTCAAGAGAGGCCCTGGTAAATTGCTACATGGCTGAATGCTGTCAAAACTATCAGTTTCTCCTCTCCCTAAATGTGGTAGCTAGGCAACTTCAATAACATTTGGAGCCCAACCCACACAAATCTCATTCCCAGACAAGATAAAGTGCCAACACCGGTTGGTTACCTTTGAGAGACACCCTCCCTGAGGCCATTGAGATGGGCCATATGTCTGTGAGGAAATTTTGATAACAACCTGTGCTTTAAGTATGCATAGGTATGTTTAATTGACTTAATTATGTAACATAGAAACAATGATACAACGTATGGAAGACTTAGATTTTCCAACTGTAAGGTGAAGTAAGATGTAAAGGATTATCATGGCAACATGGTATTTATGTGAAAAGCTAGCTGCATATTGCAACACTGTAAATTAAGCAAAACAAGAAATCATTTCAAGAGGACTTTCAAAGCATGAAATTCTTGCTGTGAGTTGGCCCCATAAATAAATCTAAAATTAAGTGAGAAGTCTTAGGTCTTATACATATATAATTTGACTGAAGAGAGAGGCCTCAGCAAATAACTGTACAGATAGTGATTTTAAATTGGAAACAACTGTTGCCACAAGAGTATTCAGAAAGCCTTTATCTTTTCAGATTCCAGTTAGCTGGAGATAGAACATTCCCACTAAGGGACTCTACAAAAATGACCAAAGTAACTATGATTGGGGGTAGCACAGATTTTAAAGATACATACTGGTTGCTAGATGCTCTATCCCCAGTTCTCCAGCGTGAAGTGACTGAGTGCTTCCTTTTATTATTATCCTGGGATGATAAATATGTATATAAAACTGTTCAGAGAAAGCTACCTACCAATTTTTGTTCCCTTATACAAACTGCTTCAATACATAAAATTAAAGCTTCCTAGTTGGGAAAGAAGAATGATATGATTAAACTGATGACTAGAGAAAATTCTTTTCTAGCTATTTATTAAGCTAATCAACTATTCTTCTACTTCCCATTTTTTTCCTGTATGAAATATAAACACATTCTAAATTTTATCTAATATTTTTGATAAGCTGGAGAAACTGTATTATTTTGGGTATTTGCTCAATAAATCAAACTTACCATTATAAAAACAATGACTATATATTTTAGAGACTCACAAAAATAGAGTCGTGATGAAAAACTCTAAAAAGGTAGAGGGGTGGGAGGGAAAAGGAGGGGACGGGGCTTAGCAAGGATGGTGGAATGTGATAGACATCATTATCCAAGGTACATGTATGAAGAAACAAATTGGTGCCAACATACTTTATATACAACCAGAGATATGAAAAGTTGTGCTGTATATGTGTAATAAGAATTGTAATTAATTCCACTGTCATTTTTTTAAAATCAATAAAAAAATAAGTATGTAATTATGGACTTTATTATATATATATATATATATATATA